CCCGCCCGCCGGTCCTCACCAGCACGGAGAAGCGCATGGGGATGCGGCCGAATAGCTGCCCGGGGTTGGCGGCGTACAGCATGGCGTGGCAAGAGTGGCTCCAGCCGGGTCCCAGGCGCATCGCCTCCACCCGGCTGATCTGTTTCAGCTCGGGCAGTGCCGCCGCCGACATCTTGGCACTGCCCCCGCCCGTCGGCGCCGGCCCCTCGGGCGCATGCGCCAGCATGGCCAATCCGCGCCCGGCGCTCAGCAAAGCCCACCCCCGCCGACGCCCAGCCAGCCGGAGGGACGGCGTGGAGGGGATGGGCGGTGCTCGCTCCGGGCAGCAGCCACGCCTCCCAGGAAGCACTGCTCGCGCCCCGCCGTGTCGCTTCACGGGGTGTCTCGGACAGGAAGGCGGATGCCCGTCGCCTCTGCATGCCGCGCCGCGCCGCTCCCGCCCAGAGCTGGGCTTTGCATCCAGTCCATGTGCACGAAGCTTCCCAACGTGCACACACGTGAGCAGGGGCCCTCCTGGTCCTATAGCCTCCAGAGCTCAAGACCGAGATGTGGCACGCAGGGGAAGGCTTCCCTGCCATACACGCTTGCTGCCACCACACCTGCCAGCCACTTCGCAGAAGCTGATGACAGTCCCAGACTGCCCTCCTGTCACCTACTGGGTCCACCGGAAAGGCCTACCTGCGTACCTGGGGCTCAAGGTGCTGACTGCTGAGCTCCAAGTGGTGTGGACATGCTGGCATGCTGGGCACACACGGACAGGGGTCGGGCAGAGGGTAGCCTCGGGAGCTTCTCCAGCAGCCCAAGTTCCTCGGCGGTATGGCTGCCCTGAGCAGACCCAGGGGGCAGGACAGCAGGGGCGGGCAGTTAGGACCTGGTATATTCACTCCTGTCCCCTGCTGTGGTCACCTGCCAAGAGCAGAGCAGGGCCTGGGGGAGAGCAGGCACTCACCACTCAGTACCCTGCCACCTAACCATGGGGAGGTGGGGCAGGGCACATAGGAAAGGGTCAGACAGGCTATTGCTGCATGATTTTATTACTATAAATATACAGTAAAAACAAAAACCTAACCAGAGTACATCAAGTGATAACACGAGACGATCCAGGGCGAGCACACCATTCATAGCGCCAGCTCTAGCCCCGCCCGCCCGCCGGTGAGGAAGGGGGACTGCACGTGGGTGAGGGAGGTGTGTGGGAAGGGGTGGTAGCAGGAGGGGTCCATGGGCAGAGTAGTCTGGCAGGAGTTGTTGGAGCCCCTGCTGTCCTGATCCACAGGTGGGGGTGGGGACCCAGGACACTTGTAATCTAGAGCCTGGGGACCCCGGCTGGCTGGAAGTCCTGCAGGGCAGCTCTTGGCTAGCAGCACCTCTGCTGTTGAAAGACTCTTTTTAAAACATCACAGGGGGCCTCCAGGGGCCCTAGACAACAAGGCAGAAATACACGGGAATGCTGGCATGGCACTGGGAGGGGCGTGGGGGGGGGGACCAAAGCCTCCCAGGGTGGGCAGACTGAGGGGAGGCTCCCACATGGAGACATCTGAGACTCGAATGGGAGGGCCATCATTTCCACTCGAACACAGTATCCCACCCCACCTCCACACCACTGGCTACCTGGAGGGCCTAGCCCACCGAGTTGGAGGAGGAGGGGAACAGAGTGAGTGGTGGCCCCAGGGGAGACCCAAGACAACATCAAACCCCCCCCCGCCCAGCGGAACCACGCATGACAGGTGGGCCCCAAGCCCACATCCTGCCCTCCCAGCCAGATTCCCCGCAGGTCCGGGGAAACAGGTAGGAAGCTGCTGTCTGTCCTTCATCTGTACCAGCCAGGTACAACACGCTGGCCTCAGAAGAGGGCGGGGCAGCCTGTGTGCTTGGCTATCAGAACGCTGGCTGCGGGCACGTGCAGACAGGAGGCCGGGAGCCGAGGGCTCCTGCAGCTGGGCCAGCTCTCAGAAGTGGGTCAGCTCAGTGGGCCCGAGGTCAGGATTGGGGCCACCCAGCGGAGGCCAGGGAGGGTCAGTGGTGCCGAGGGGCATCTCCAGAGAGGCCGAGCATCCTGCAGGTGGGAAGCAGAGGGGGCTTATGCTGGGCCCAGGGGCCGCCCCCTTCTTGAGCCTACAGTGCGGGTCCCCATGGGTGGGGCTGGTTCAGAGTGCAATCACCACAGACAGCACCTGGGGCTCTCCCAGCCCTGGCTTAGAGCTGTCCGCCCAGGCAGCTTTGCAGGATAGGGCATGGGCGCCTCCCTCAGAGGCATGTCTTACCCCTGGCCACACCGGTCCACCTGGTCCCCTACCCCTACCCCACCCCCCACCCTGCTTTGTGGGCTTGGTCCAGCTCGGATGGGCAGTACTGATCTACTCCAGGAGGCTGTGCTTCCTGCCCAAGTCCACCCACCCTGAAGCCAGGCACCATGACACAAGCACCTCCAGCTAGGACACCACCAGATGCTCTGCACGGCCCCCTGGCTGCTGGGCAGTCCCCCAGCACAGGGAGGACTAGACAGCCTTCAGCCAGCCCACAGCACTCTGCAGTCCAGTCTTCCCTCTAAGTTTTACACAAAGCCGACCCTCAAACAGCTCTGGAAGCCACAACCAACTCTCTGGGAGCACTGGCTGCTGTCTGTCCAAAAATGGCTGAGAAGGAAGGACCTGGTGGGGACAGGAGCAACCTGTGCCCAGCTGAGGAAGAGACATCGGAGCCTGGGGGATCACAGGGACCCCAACAAGTGGAGGGGTCCAGATGGACCCTCAGTCATCAAACTTCACCAGGGCCCATCGTGCCCTGAGCTTGCCCACCAGGGCTTGGATTCAGGGTCTAGGCCCCTGGGGACCCCGTGACTGGAAGAGACCTAGAAAAGCTGAAGGACCGTCAGACCCACCCAAAGCAGAGAAAGGCACGTACCAGCTTACTCCTCGACACCAATAGAGCAGGAGTCGGGGCCCAGGGCTGCCAGAGAGGAGGAGAGACAGATGGAGCTCAATTAGCAAAGCACTGCTGCCCAGGGCAGCCCTCGAGGGTGGGAGCCACTGACTCCCATTGGACACAGGGCCTGCCTGCTCCAGCTTCAGCCCGAGGGCAGCCCCCTGAGAGATGCACAGGCTGCCAGAGCACCCCTCTGTGTCTTCCAAGTAGGGAGCTGGAGCTAGGGGCAGTCGCTGAGGCCTGGGAGGATCTCTCCCCACGGGGACCAGGACACCAGGGTCCTCAGCTTTCCCCAAGCCAGGTCTTTTCATGTCAGCAGGGAACAGGCATTCAGAGAACTCACAACCTCCCACAGGATGCCCATGTAGCTGTTAACAAGGAAAGGCGGCGTGTGTGTGTGCACCGCACCTGGGCACACGTTCTTGCACGTGCATGCACTGAAAGGGCACCTGAGACAGCTGTGAGTCAGCACAGCCAAGGCCCAGGAGTGGCTGGCACAAGCGGACAGGAGGGCCACCGCACTTCCTCCCATAGGCCTCTCTAGCGCCCACTCTCCAACTCTCCGGGCCCTCAGCCCGAGAACAGCAGCCCCCGCAGCCCTGCCTCCCAGGTGGCAGCAGGCATGGCCTCAGGGTTCTGAGAGAGCCCGGAGCAATGCCAGGCCAGACCCCGGGCACCATCAGGCAGGGCCGCCATGGCCCTGAGCTGACTAGCTCCTCTGACTCAGCATGAAGGCCTGGCAGGCACACTCACGGGGGTCTCCAGGACCCCTGGGAACATCCACGCAGGGGATGTATGGCTGTGTCAAGCCTGTGACACTCCAAGGGTCACCCTGAGCTGAGTTGCCCAGTGACCACTCCAGGCTGTGAGGCTGCCAACAGTGGGGACCCACCTCCGGTGGTTCAGGTCAGAAAGAGGGTGCCACAGAGGGGTGGGGGGCACTGGGGTCAAGATGAGGAAGTGGGGACAAGAAGGCTCTTTCTCCGGGAACTCTGGTTCCCCCGCCTTCCTTCCTGCTGCCTCCACCCCTGTGCTGGGGCGTGAGACCCCCAGGGTGCTCCTCTCAGCCGTGGGTGAATCCGCCTTGCTGCCCTGAGTGCTCCCGCCCAAAGCAGACACAAAGGAGTGGAGTTTCCTCCAGGGGTCACCACAAGGTCAGGACCCAGCTCCCCCTCCCCTAAGAGAACTTACTAGAAGTCCTGTCATTTCTTACTAGGTGGCCCACCGTGGGCTTTTATTTACTGCACCAGTAAAACCCACCAGAGGGGGCCGCTAGGGGTTGTAGCTTTCCTATCAAAGCCCATCCCAATCCCCTCCACCCCAGACGGGGTTGGGAGAAGACTGGCAGTGTCAGGCTCAGGCAAGCAGCTGTCTCTGGTGTCCTGTCTGCATTCCAGCACCTTCCATGGTAGCTGATGGCCCACCCCAACTCCCTGCCCTTCCTGGGAGCTCAGGGCCTAAAGCAGAGGACTTGGAGCCCATGCGTGGGTCCCGTGGTCTTGCTGGCACCCTGATCACTGTGTGCACTGGCCCCAAGGGAGCAGCTGGCCACCGGGGCAGGTGGAGGCCCAGGGGTGGCTATGCCTGCTCTTTTTGACCAGGACTCTCTGCCTGCCCGACCCCGACGTGAAGCACACGCCTGTCTGCAGCACCAACAATGGCTCCTGAGGGCAGAGGCCTTATGGCTGCCTCTCCAGCCCCTCTACTGGATCCCAGAGCGGCCTCACGTACCCATCGAATGGAGGGCCATGGAACTGACTGCAACCCTGGCCCGCCATGCCAGAGAAGGAGAGCCTCTCCCGAAGGGCCTGGACGGAGAACAATCCCAGCACGGGACATGGGGTGCACACTGTACCTGGCAGGTAGATGTCGGCAGGTGGGCCGAGGGCGCGGTGCTCAGGGCTGCCGTCCTGCAGGACGCTCTCGATGGACGGGGCCTGGCTCTCTGTGGGGCAAGGGCAAAGTCAGAGACGCACACAGCCCCACGCCCCACCTGAATGCCCACCAGCCTCTCCTCTACTTCTCCTTTCCCCTACTCCCTGGCTTGTTGTCCCTTACAGGGACATTCCTACATTCTGGTGGCAGTAATCCTTTCTTGTCTGTCCTCCTGACGTGAGCCCTGGTCTCAGGATCAGACCCTTGGGACCTAGCAGGGCGGCGGTGCTGAGAGGGTGGGAAGAGGGCCCACACTCTAGAGATGTGGGTCTGCCTCGGGTGGTGCCGCTTGCAGGCCACGAGATGACCAAGTATCGTGGAACTCGACAGATGACACTGGCAGACCTGGGTCAGGCCTGGCTGGCGGCAGGACATGAGGGTGCCCGGAAGCACCGAGCCTCTCACCTGGCTTAAGGGACGATGACAGCTCTCCCACCTCGTCCATGACAAAGCTCTAGGGAACAAAGGGGAGTCCAGGGCTGGCCAGAGCTTCCCATCACCATGGGCCGGGCCGGGCCCCACCTCAGGGCACATAGGGGATACTGGGGTCAGGTTGGGGTTGAGGCAGGGCAGGGACCTCCTCACCTCAGGGGAGCTACTTTCGGCACCACTCAGTGCGGGTGGAGCATCTTCCTCTTCTTCGTGGATGGGGGAGGATGGAGAACGCAGGGTGCTGGGGTGGAGGACAGAGAGTGAGAATGGGGTTGGAGGGGCCAGTCCCACACACACACCACACTGGGCAGGCAGCCCCCAGCCAGGGCTCCAGCCTGCAGTGGCCTTGCAGGTTACCAGGATCTGCAGGGAGGGTCCTTGGGGAAGGCTCTGCTTCAGGCCCCGTGCTGACCAGCACTGACTATCGGCTCAACCTAGGCTCGTTGTTCTAAAGGGAGCAGGGGCAACGAGTGGCTGCTCTCAGGCAGGGGGTCTAGGCGAGGGGTGGACCAGGACCAGGACCCCACAGCTCCCACACATCTCCAGAGGGGCCCCGTAGTCTGTGCACGTCACTGGGCACAGCTCAGCACAGCGCACCTTATCAGGGAGCAGCCCACGGCCACCCTGCATGGGGCGAGACTCCAGACAGCACACGCATACAGGTGCCTGTCCCAACATGGTCCCCGAGGTATCTCCAACAGACGACCCACTGCAACCACCACCAGGCGTGTCTGGCCTCACTGACCCTACACAGGGTTTCGGGTAGAGCGGCTGAGGGATCTGAACAGCCACACTTGGTGAGCAGCCTGGTGCTTGACCCATGGCATCACCAGGACTCTAGGAACAGCCCACTGCCGAGCGCCCACTCAATTCTCTCTGCCATGGGAAACAGGCGAGCTTCCCGGCATGCCTGCAACCAGACCCAGAACCCAGCCCATAGTCCCTCCGAGGCCTGACCATCCTCTTGGAGAGAGAGAGCCATGACCCCAGTCGTCTGCCCTCTTCCCTCTCTGCCTGCCTGAGTCTAAGGCCACTGGAACCTGAAGGTCCTGCGTGGGAGAGCGAGGTGCTGGCGTGTCCGGGCAGATCCAATGTGGGGGCCATGATGGGCACCATCTAAGTCACTGAGCAGGACGTGCCTCTGAGACCAGCCTCTCAGAAAGGCCTCGGATGTGCACACTGTGCCAGCGGCCTAGACACAAGGGGCGGGAGGCTGGCTGGAGGCTTTGCTGCTTGCACAAGCCTTGCACCCTCCTGAGAGCAAGCACGCCATCTGCGAGGGCTGGGCCCAGTGCCGGGGCACAGAGCCTGGCACGGACTGGTGGGAAGTAAGCGCCAACCCAGCTCAGCTCCACTGCACCCTGCCAGCACACAGGCCTCCAGGGACAGATGGATCCCTGGCCAGGATCCAAACCCGGACCTCCTACACAACAGGCAAGGATGCTACCACTGACCCACCACTGCCTCGTGGCGTAAACCACAGCCACGAGAACTGGCCGTCATAGAATCTGCTAAGTTCTTCTAGGCAAGCATGGGGCGAAATGCAACATGTAAAGACACAGATGAACCGAACTCGAACTCCCCAGAGCAGGGGCTGGGGGTCTCCCACCGCACCCAGACATGTGGGCTGGCAGCACTGACTCACCTGTCGGGAGACCTGGGCCTCGGCTTGCCCTTCTGGTGGCCGCTGTCCACCATCTGCTCGGTACCGGCCAGCGGACAGCTGGCCTGGGAGAGGCCTTCAGACACGCCCGAGTAGGTGAGCTCCTCGTACAAGGGGGCTGAGGGGGCGGCGGGGGAGGCGGCCCGCAGGCCATTGAGCGCTTCCAGCAGGGAGACCGGCTCGTAGCCTGGTGGGATGCTGTCGGGGCTCTGCAGGGACAAGGGGGGTGAGCAGGGGCTGGCCCGGCACCCTGCCAGCTTCCCCAGCACCCCAGACACTGGCTCGCAGCCCCGAGGACAGTCTACCCCCCAAACCCACTCTCCCAGGGTGTAAGCTCCCCCTCCTGAGCTGCTCTGAAGACAGACCCGCCCCCTAAAACTGGTAGCAGTGAACCCCGAGTTTGAATCAAAGGCACAAGCTTCATCTGGCCAGCCGAGGCTAGGTCCCTGTCCCCACCCTCAAGGCAGGACACACAGGCTAGAGTGCTCCTGGCCAGTCAGGTCTGCGGAGGGGGGCACCCAGACATCCACATGCCCAACTCGCTTGGCTGCTGGAGCAAGGCCTCGGGCAGCCCCGCTGGCTCCAGTCCTGCCTCAGCTGGGAGGGTCGTGAGAGGGTTAGTGACAGCGAGGAAAGGCAGAGAGCAAAGCCATGCCGAGGGGAAAGGCCAGTTGGGGGCCAGGCTCTAGGACCCCAGGAGCCAGGGGCACTGATGGGTGGGTGAGAGCTGCTGCTGCAGGGGGTGCTGGTGGGGACCCCTAGTTTGGTTGGGGGTGGAGCCCCTCACCAAGGGTGAGTGTGCATTGAGGTTGATGGTGAAGGGTAGGGGTGGGAGGGCCCCGTGCCCACGCCCACACGCACTCGACAGGAAGCGGCACCAAGCTGCCAGTGCTCTGAGCTCGCAGTACTCTGCCCAGCACCTGTGCCCACACTGCCATCGATGGAACTGCTGGGCCCTCCTCCTCCAGAGTGGGGGTCAACCACTGGCCCCAGGTCTCCAGGCTGGGAGCCGGGTCTGCGAGGCCAGTTAGAGCCTCTTGGAGCCCCACTTCCTGGTCCCCTGGCCTGCGAAGGTTGGCCTGATCTGGTAGGGGGTGGGAGTAGGAGCCCCTCAGAGTCCCACTTCCTCATCCTTATGGCTTGCTCTCCAAGAGGGTCACTCGGTCCACTGGGGTAGGAGGCTCAGTCCCACAGTACCCTCACTTGCTGGTTGGCCTGCCCTAGCAGGGGCAGGGGCAGGAGCCCCTCAGACACCCCAATTCTTGGTTTCTGACCTACTCCCTGAGCAAGTCGCCCTAACCTAGTGGGGGCTGGGGGTGCCCCTCAGAACCCCCACTTTCTCATTCCTCTGATCTGCTCCCTGAGGTGGTCAGCCTGGTCTAGTGGGGGCGGGGTGGGGGGCTGGGCCCCTCAGACGACCCGCCTGCTGGTTGGCCTGATAACAGGGTAAGGGGCGAGAGCCCCTTGGAGACCCCACCCCCAGTTCCCCTGACCTGTTCCTGAGACAGCAAGGAAGACAAGAAGTCAGAAGCCCAGAGACCCTGGCGGAGGATAGCGGGCACGCAGCATGCGAGAGGCAGAAGAGCAGCCACGTGAGTGAGTTAGTGCCGCTGGACGCTTGTCCCGCTGCCAGCAAGAAACAAGGGAACCGGGACACCGGGCGGCCGGGCGGCAGTGGGGGCTCTCCGGCGGGCAGGCAGCGGGCGGGCTGTGAGTGAGGGCGCGGCCGAGGCGGCCCAGGCGCACTTACGGTTTCCCTTTTGGGTTTCTTGCTGGCCAGGGAGGCAGGGCTTGACTTTGGTTTTTTAAAGGGGCACTGTCGAGATAAAAACCACAGGTTTACAACTACGGGAGGGGCAGGAGCCCCCCGTGAAGGTTCTCGGACCTCGGTCAGGGGCCTTGAGGTGGGCTCTGACAGACGTTCAAGGGTCCTGCGTCTGCATTGGTGACTCCCAACACCGACCACTCACAGTCAGAACCAGGAGCAGGCGGAGGGCAGGTTGGGTGCCGCCCACAGGCTGGAAGTATGGAGTGTGGGGCAGGAGGGCACAACCCCTGTGGTATCTCAGCCACCAGGGAGATGCCACTCCAACCCAACACACACACCCAATTCAAGAGGGCCAGCTACACTCACTGCTCACCAGGGACAATGCCACGGTGCAGGGGTCACCGAGACCCACTGACCCTGCGAGCTGAAACCTTTTTGCAGGCCAGGCCTGAGCTGACAGCCTCCAAGCCCAGGGGGCGCTGGGCAGTAAGCCAGTGCCTGTGGCCCACCCAATGAGCTGAGCCCTCCACAGGCCCGGAACGGGCACATGCTGTGAGCTGGAGCCCATACCATGGGTGTTCACACCAACAGGTGTACCCACCGCTGCCCCAGAACAAACCACAGCCCCCAGATACACACCAAGGCCTTTTTCTGGTGTGAGAAGCTGGTGGTGCTCCAGCAAACTGGTCCCAAGGGGCTAAGGGGGCCCAAGGTCAGGGTACAAAAGACAAGCCAGGCAACAGGATTTGAAGGGGACACACAGGCATGCATCCTGTGAGGGTCACAGTGGATCTGCCTCCACCAGGGAGGCCGGGCCACAGGCTGGACAGATGTTGAGGAGGGGGCCGCAGACCCAGCCAGGGGGTCACCTCCCAATGGGCCACACACCGTCCCCAGGACGATGGGAACACCCACTGCTAGCTCTCTAGGTTTCGACTCCTATGAGCCAGAAACAGGGTCTACAGTCAGGGGTCTCTGGTTCCCAAGTCCCCGGCGGTCCACCTCAGCAAGAGGGCCGGAGGAGGGCAGCATCACAGACCCGCTGAGGGAAAAGGCACAGCGGTCAGGCTGGAGGAGGGGTGTCCGTGAGCAGGGGCTCCAAGTGGCTCCTCCTCAGGCAGGGCCGCTGGGCGCTCACAGGCTGGCACGGGAGGGCTGTCAGGGTGCTCAGCTACCATGGTGGCCACGCCTGCCCGAGGGACAGGTGAGGCCAGACTGTCTGGTGCTGCCCAGAGGCCTCACAACACTGTCAACTCCAGCCCACTCCGCTCACCCCCAGGCAGAAGGCGGGGCACTTACTGAGTGCTCTTCGTGGTCCACGCTCTGGGCCAGCACAGGGCTGAAGGAGACGGGGGACCCTAGGGGCCCGGGCTTCTTCCGCACAGCGCGGATCTGTAGCAGGGCCCGGAAGGCTGTGCAGAGGGGGACAGGGCTCTCATCAGGCAGGTGACACCAACACACACCCCTACTTCCCAGCCTGCTGCAGAGGCCCAAGGACAAGCCCCACTTCCTGCTCAGAGGGGAGGGGTCAGCAGGGTGCCCTGGGGTCCACAGAGGCCAAAGGAAACCCAGGAACCATGACCCACACCGAAAATGGAACCCTCACACCAAGGTCAAGGTCAGCCCCCAGGCTCCTGGAGCTCAGCTAGTGCCGCTGCACCTGGAGCGTGGCGCCCTCTGGGAGGTCTACGCTAGGCACCAGGAGCGCAGTGTTTGTGTGAATGGGGAGGGGCAGAGGGGTCACACCCTCGAAGCCAATGGTCAGTCTCCCTGACGCTGTGCGCCATCTCGACAACAGAACAGAAGTAAATTCCCACAGCCACACTCCCTCCCATGTGCGCTCCAGAACAAAGGGCCCCTAGTCCCTGCAGCCAGCAGACACCTGTCCTGGGGGCACGCCAACATGCCCTGCTCCTGCAACGACAAGGCCCGGCTGCCATAGCGGGGCCAATCCCTTCTCTCCTTCCCCAAGCACCACCCCCCACCCTGTCCCCAGCCGAGGCGGCACTCACGCAGCCGGCAGATGGGGCAGTTGTTGGCCTGGTAGCGCAGGGTGTCGGCGCAGGAATTACAGAGGCAGAGGTGGCGGCAGGGCAGGATCAGGGTGTCGCGCAGGTCTGACAGGCACACCACGCACTCGTTGCTGTTGTCGCTGTTCTCGTCGTCGGAGGGCTGCAGGGACGAGGCGGGGAGGGGGGTTGGTGGTACAGAGAGACGAGAGGCGAGGAAGGGGGCTCATGCCGCCCCAGCTGGTCCTGTCACCAGCTCCAGCCCCCCATCCCGAGGCTGCTGCTGGGGGACAAGGAGGAGGGCCGCGAGGGGGACAGGGAGCCCTATGACCCGAAGGCACTGAGAGCTCCCTGCCCAGGCAAGAGGGAAACTTAACACGAAGCTGCTGCGGTAAGGGAGGCCAATCCAGGAACTCGTGGCCAGCTGTGTAATGTGGTGGCCCAGTGTCCCCACAGCCCAAAGGTGTGGCACTTAGTGAGCACAGGGTCTCCCGGCAGGTGCCAGGAGTAGCCACCTGCACTGTCCCTCTAACTCATCCGTCGCCTTATGTGCGTCCACAGCCCTGGCTCTCTGCACAAGAGAACCGCCCGCTGGCTTAAGCCAGCTTCTCCCAGACCAGCCGGACAAGCAGCAGGTTTGCTTGTATAAAAGCTTTTTATGCTCCTTAACTTGAAAAGTTTTAATAGTGTTTTTCAAAAACCACCTTGTATTAAAAATTACCACCCCAGTTGTCCTAGCTCCCTGTTGTTGTTAGATACCATCCAGTCACCACAGTGACCCGTGCACAGCGGAAGGAAGCCCGTCTCCTGTGCCTTGCTCTCAATTGCTCTGATGTTTGAGCCCACGGTGGCAGCCACTGTGTCCATCCATCTTGCGAAAGGCCTTCCTCTTTTTAGCTGCTCCGCGACTTTCCCAAGCATGATGTCCTTCTGCAGGGCCTGGTGTCTCCTGACATTATGTCCACAGTACACGAGACCAAGTCTCTCCATCCTGGCCCTCAGGAGCGCTCTGGCTGTACTGCTGCCAGGGCAGATTTGTTGGTTGTGTTCATCCGTAGCCCTTGCGATGTTCTTCCCCAGCACACCGCAATGCATCAATTCGTACTCTTCGGTCTTCCTTATTCAGTGATCAGCTGTCACATGCAAATGAGGCAACTGAAAATACCATGACTGGGATCAGGCGCACCTTAGTCTTCACAGGAACCTCCCTCCTGGGCGGAACGCCGTAGAGCCTTGTGCATGCACCAGGTTTGCCTAATGCAGTGTGTCATCTGATCTCTTGACTACTGCTTCTGGGAGCACTGGTGAGAAGCGTGCTCCGAGTGCTGCTATAATTGGAATACCACAAGGGGTGGCTTTAACAAACAGGAATTTATTTTCTCATATTAGAGGCTAGACACCCGACTTTGGGGCCTTGGCTCCAAGAGGAGTCCAGGCCCAGGTAGGGACTCACTAACATCCTGGGGCCCCAGGTATTCTGGACCCTCTTTGACCAAGGGAAGTCCAACAGAGCCCAACATTGCTGCGCTGAGCGAGTGCCCACCGTGGGCTGCAGCCGCTGGTGGTCCCCCTCCCACAGTGCTCACTAATGCCACTGCAAGGGCCATGGCTTAGACGAGGTTCCCGAGCCCACAGCAACGCAAGGTCAGCCCAGCTTCAAGTCCAGGGAGGCCTGCTCCTTGCTCAGCCCTGAGTCCGCATCGTGGGATACTGGGTCAGGGACCCAGGGGGGGCTTGTCCAGCACAAAGGGCCTGATCAGTTCCGGGGGGCTGACATCTACACCCTGAAGACATGCCCCAAACCCAGTCCTGCACTCAAGTACAAAGGTCTCTCTGTCTTCTTCAGGCCCTAAGAAAGGCTGGGGAAGAGCTCACGACCTGACCGGAGGGGGCCTGCTTCCTCAGTTAAACAGCAAACCAGGTCTAACAGGTCTGCAGATCTCACTACCAGGCCACAGCAGCTCTGAAATTAACCAAAGCCGCCAAGCCCAGTGCCACAGGTTGACCGACTCGGTGACCCTCCGGGACAGAGGGACTGCCCTGTGGGTGTCCGGGGCCGTGACTCTTCAGAGCCGAGTGCCTCGCTGCTCCCCTCGGAGTGGACGCTCAAACACGAGCCAGTAAGTGTGGCTCTCACCCCTTCTTGCAAATACAGTGGCCTGGGCACCTCAAGCTGCCTGGGGCTGCAGTGACCGCGTGAAGTCCATGAGAGAGAAGACTAAGGGTCACAGGGCCAGAAAGAACTGCTGCCTGCCTCTGCAGCCCGGAAAGCTTCCAGTCCCTGGCCTAGCAGGGCTCCTGCTGGGGGCTGCAGCCCCATCAACCCTCCGGCAGACTGCCCAGAGCACTGCCGACTCTCCCAGCCACACTCGCCAGGCCCTGCGAGGCTGGCACAGACTTAATCCAGGGACAGCTTCAGTGGGCTTGCGGTGAAGCACAGGACAGCAGGGGCAGCAGCTAGCAGTCCCTCCGGGAGATGAGGTCATAGCCCGAGGTGGCCAGGAGGGGGCAGCAGTGGGCTGGGCCAGGGCCTCTGGGCGGCTCGCCCCAGCAGCCAGAGGGTTTCATAAAAGCCAGGGAGCCGGCTCAAACTCAGGTCTGCGATAGGGGCTGTGAGGGGAGAGAAGGAGGAGGGGGCAGTGAGCTGGAGTGGGTGGGGTGGGCAGAGTGACAGCGAGGGGGACTGAGACAGGCGGCCCACCTCAGGGTTGTACTCTGTGTCACTGATCCATCGGTGTGTGCTTTATTGTGTATTTTCACCCAGAGCGTAAAATAAGAATTTCAAAACCTGTTTAAGTTAAAGTGTGGGCTCTGAGGAGCAGCCCGGGGGATGGGGGGAAGGAGGGTCAGGACAGGGCCCTTGGCTCCAGCTAGTGCTGGTGACCGGGGGGTGGGGAGTGGGGGAACACGGGATGGTGGGGGGTGAGAGGAGACACACACACACACACCCTGTGGCCCACCCAACCACCCCTACCTTCGTCTCCTGGTTGTTCTTATTCTCAATGCCATAGATCTCCTGCAGCAGGTAGCTGACCCGGTCCACCTGGTGGGCAGAGAGAGGGGCATGCTGGGCTCTCCAAGGCTCAACTCCCACCTTGCCCAGACACACCTGGGGAAGCCAGCCCAGTGTCGGGCTGCAGGAACACTGGGCCCCTGCCCAGCTTCTCACCCTGAGTCACCGGACACAGGGCCAGGGTCCCAGGGGGCTATCCACCACGAAAGACCCTACTGAGTGCCACGGGGGCTTGGCCCCCACTCCCTGCAGACACCCCAGCCTGCATCAGTCCTTAAGAGCAACACGGGGGCTCCGGGAGCTGGGCTGCTCTTCCCAGACCAGCGTATGCATCTCTGGTCTCCAAGACTCTAACCCCTGCCCTACAGTGTCAAGCCCAGGCCATCTCAAAGAAAACACAAGCAGATGGCACACCCCTGCTCCCACCTACGCTGACAGCTTGTGCCTCAGGCCTGCCAGGTCTGCTGGGTTCTCTCCATCTACCTTCTAGAAAGCTCCCAGACTGCGGACACAGGGAAAACACGCCTGGCCCAGCCCCCAGCCATGTCTCACACACCAAATGTAGCTCAGTTCCATTTAGGGGATCCCCACCCAAAAGGCCAGTCCCCCCGTGTGTGGCCAGAACACCACCAACCCCAAAGATAGGAGAGACTCTGGGCCGCATGGCTGGTGTACAGGACATCCCCTGGCCTCTTCTCCCCGACAGCAGGTACAGACAGGGTGGGGCTTTCTGTGTCCCGCTCCCTCCTTCAGCTCGTCCTCCCCTCAAGTATTGACTGCGGACTGGCTGCCTTTCAAGGGGCCCTGGTGGCACGGTGGTTAAGTGCTCGGCTGCTAACTGAAAAGGCAGTGGTCCGAGGGAGAAGCGGAGGCCATGTGCACCCAGCATGGCAGGGCAGGGAAGCCCCGAGGGCTGCTGTGAGTCAAAGAAGTATTCTTGGCTTGGGGTGCAGTGGTGAGGCAGGGCTGTGGGCCTGGGAGGCGCAGCAGGACAGAGGAACCCCTTGTGACTGTCAGGAGGTTGTGTGACATGTGGGGAGGAGGGGCCAGCCAGGAGGGGGCACTGGGGAGTGAGGTTGTGTCCACATATGGTGGGGGTGGGGGGCTGGTGGCCCAGCAGTTTCCAGTGGGCTGTTGTGAGCCCCCAGCTGCTCGGTGAGGAAAGGTAAGGCCGGGTGTCAGCTGCTGTGAGGATGAGGGCCCTGGAAATGGCCTGGGGCCACTGGGAGGCGGGCCTGACCCAGTGGGACCACCCTGCATCCCAGGCACCCACGGGGTTCAAAGCTGCCTGCACTCAGATCCCTGCCCAGCCAGGGAAACACACAGGCCTCCGGTGGCAGGGCGCTGGAGTGACTGAGTGTATGTGTGTAAGCAGCGTGCAGGAGAGCAAGCAGAAACTTACGATTTGCTTCTGCTTGAGAGGCTTCACGGAGAAGCTGCCGTCCACATGCTGCCGTGAAGAGGACACTTGTTTGGTGAAGGCTGGGGCCGGTGCCTCTCAGCACAGCCCGCTGAACCCCCGACGCACAGACACACAAACAGCAACACCCACGTTCACATAGACAAAGCAGACATGCAACCCCTCCCCACACAGCATATGCACAGACATACGGTGCAGGCACACACGTACACACAAAGCAGATGCCAACTCCACACATGCACATATACACACATCAGACTACACACACACACATATACACATCACACACATATATTCAACACTCACAAGTATATGCAAGACATACACAGACACACGCAGAGGGAAATACACAGATACCCAGATATGCACACATACCCCACACATCTCCTGGCCCCCAACATAATAACCCCAACAAAACATGAGCAGCTGGAAGCTTGGGGCTGCCGGCACCCCGTGTGGAAATACAGAGACCATCCCTCCCCATGACGAGCCCCTTCTATGTGGCGGCTGCCACGGACAGGGTGGAGGGGAGGCTCCAGGAAGACTCGAATTCTCCCCCAGTTCCCACACGCATGAGATCAGGGCCAGGCGCAAATCAGACACTTGCCCACCTGTCCACTGACGTCTCCAAGCACCCAGCATGGGCACAACTAACAACAAGAGACCCGGTGACATCAGAGGACTGTGGGAGGGACAAATCTTCATCTCTGCGCCCAGTGGGACACAGCCCTTGGCTGGAAAGCCCCATGTGGGATAGAAAGCCTAGGAACTGTCCCCTTTCCCAGCCTCTGGGCTTGGTGCACGTCTCCAAGCCTGGCCCCCAAGTTCTTACTGTCTCCCAAGCGCCACCCTCACCCTGCACTGGCCAGTGGGGAGGACAACACTTACCTTTTCAAAGGCAGCCAAGAGCACGTGGGCATGGCCAGGCACCTCCACAACTGCAGGGAGAGGGGGAACTATTAGAGCTGCCAGTACGGACCCCTCTGCCAGCCCTCTCTCTCTCAGGCCTGGTCACTCTCAACCCAGCACTCGGGCAGCACTGCCTCTGGGTCACCTCCCACTGCTGCCTGCTCTCAGCGGCCATCCTCACTCACAGAGGCCAGAGCGGGACAACGGCCCCTGGGTGCCTGAGGAGCCCCACCCACTGCAAAGGTTTGGGCCAGGGAGACGGCAGGAGGGAGGCGGAGGGCCAGGGGCACCAGCCATGGGGGCCACGGAGCAGAAGGCTGGCTGGCTCTGGCCCAGAAAAGGGGATGTCCTCGGGTGAGCCCTGGACAGGCAAGAACTGCACCATGGGTCGGCCTGCAGCGCCCCCTCCCCCTGGGGGGTTGAGAGAGCGGCAGTGTGCCTGCAGGCAGCCCAGGTCCTGGCCCACATGGGCCGAGTGCTGCTCACCGTCCCCTTCGTCCACCACGGCCTGCACCACCACTGGGAACACGCCCGGGTCCAGGGCGAGGTTCAGCTGTAGGAGGGGGGAAGCAAGGGAGGTGAGGACACAGAGGCGAAATGCAGAGACAGGGTCTGGGGCACAGGGAGGGCAGCCCCCGATGGAGGGAAGTGAGGGTCCTTGAGAGAAACCCCTCCCGCATCACCTCCCTTCAGGCTCCCTGACCTTCTCACGCAAATGCCCCTGCTTCCACCCCAGGCCAGCCTGTTACCTCTCCTGCCAAGCCTGGCCGCCACCTCCAAGCCTCCAACGTGCCCGCCCCCCGCCCGCCCTGACGGAGCCTGGTGGCACAGCAGTGAAGTGCTCGGCTGCGGAGTGAAGGACGGCCACTGCAAGCCCCAGGGGACAGGGCCTGGCTCTGCTCCTGCCGAGAGGTCGGTGAGGCGGCAGTTCCGCGCGCTCCTACAGGGTTGCCAGGGATCGGAACAGACCCAGGTCTCAGCCAGCCCCACCTGCTTCCTGCTGAGCCATCCCACTCTGGGCCCCCAAGATCCTTGCGAGCTGCCATCAAGGAATTTCCGACTTTCGGTGACCTCACAGGGCGGGTGGGACGGCCCCTAGAACTTTCCTAAACTAATTCTTCATGGGAGTAGAAAGCCTCTTTTCCGCAGAGTGCAGCGGAAAAGACCTCTCGGTGAACCGCCCGCCCAGTGTGTAGACACAACTCCGCCAATATGCCAGCCCGACCCCGATGGCACCCCCACTGCACACTGGAGAAAACAGCATCTATGCCTCAATTAGCAAAGCCAAAAATCACACCCACTGCCATCAAACGAGGGGGCTCACGACAGCCCGACAGGACAGTGCAGAACCAACTACTCCGTAGGGTCTCCCAGCCGGTCAATCTTTAAGGGGGCCAACAGCCTCATCTTTCTCTGGTGGGGCAACTGGGGGAGTTGACCCCCGGCCCTCGGGTTCCCAGCTCCCTGCACACGTGAAGGGGCACTGCAGCGGGCACTGTCAGCGGGCGTGGCACAGTGGTGACCACTGGATAAGGCAGGGTCACAGCAGAGACAGGGAACCCTGGCGGCACCAACAGTGGGGGTCAACAGTCCCGGCCCACCTGGTGGCCCCCACAAAGATGCAGCTGAGAGGCCCCTCCCCTATGGGGGCCCCAGCACACGGGGTCCCAAGGAGTCATAACCGACCCACTAGCCCAACAGCAGTACAAAACATAGAGAGGACCAAGGGAGCACCACAGAGCACCCAGGGGCCCCATCTGGCTGGGAGCAGCACCCAGGGCAGAGGCAGTGAGGGGGACAGGCCCTGGGGTCTGTCCAGAGGAGCCACCCCTCCAAAGTCCCAGTGGAACCATCTGGGCTGAGGAACCAAATGCTGCCGAGCCGGAGGCCAGGGGGAAGCAGTGCTTCTGGGTGCTCCTGGACCCTGGCCAGCCTTGCCCACCCATCGGCTCAGGCTTCAGCCCTCGGGGGCAGCCAGGCATGGTCTGGTGCCGAGGCACCATCTGAGGAGGGGTCAGAGCAGGAGTCAGCCCAGGGAGGGCTAGTCCGGGGCATCACCTCGTCCTCCTTCCACTCCGAGAAGTCTATCTTGAAGGAAGGCAGGGAGAACTGCTGGCCCACCCCTCTCTTGTAGTGGACCGTCTCCGACTGCAGGGCGGCGCTCTTGGGGCTGTACCTGAGGGGCAGCAGAAAGAAGGGGGTGAGGCCCTGATGCCCATGAACGTTTCCTCCCAGCGGTCACCTCCATCCAGGAGCCAGCACCCACACTGCCCTCAGGGTGGGGCATAATCTCCCACAGCCCTCTCCGAGGGGAGCAGGAGGTGACTTCTCCAGAGAGCCCCTCGGTGAGGTCACACTGCTCCAACCCTTCCAGAACCCTCCACTGCCGGGGCCGCACCTTCACCCGCTCTGTGCAGCCTGGTCCTAGCAGAGTGCACGGTGCGGTGCTGCCAAATGCCCACGTGCCGGCTGAGGCTGCGCATTCACACCTACACGTGCAGCAGTGAGCACAGCCACCCTTGGGGGGCTTCGCGCAGCCACCACCTGATGCATCCTGACTTCTGAGGAGCGCTCCAAGAGGGGCACCACCACCAGCCCCAGCCTCACAAGCAGCTCTTCCCCCGTGCACAGGGGCCCCAGCTTGGGGCTGGGTGACGCACACCAGAAGCCCACTCGGCTGAAGGCCCACGTGGAAGAAAGGCCTGGCGCTAAGACCTGCCCAGAAAACACCCTGGAGCACAGTCCTGCCTGGGGCCCACATCCACTCAGGGCCCCGCCCCACACCTGGGCGCCCAGACTCACACAGCCATGCCGTTCAGGAACTCCTCGGTGGCCTGGCAGTAGATGGTGATGGCCACACGGGCATCAGCATCGAAGGTGAACTCCAGGCTGTAGAGCACCCGAGGCTTCTCGTTCTCCTCAGTGGGGCTGTCCGCGTCCTCTTTGTACCTAGGGGCAGGGGACGGTTACTGGGCCGCAGGTGTTGAGCCCCTGGTGGCCAGGGGCTGTCCCAGATACTATCAGGCCCCCTCCCCAGGTCCTGGTCCCCAGTGGAAGTGAGCCTCTCAGATTAGAGCTGCCTGGATACCTCACACAGGTTTGTCAATTTGGGCACACGGGGAGCTGCCCATCATGGGTGGGGGCCCCCCTGTGCCCTGCAGCCTGGGAGCAACCCAGACAACACCCATCAGCAACCTGAGGTCCTGGGGGGCTGGGGCTCCCAGGGCAGCAGAGAGTTTGCTCCAGCATAGGCCCTCCCAGGGTATCCTCGGCCGTGGTGGAAGTGCAGATCCTAGGCCCGAGTGACTGGGTCAGGACCACCTCCCACCACTGCCTGGGGTGCAGTGGACTGCAGGTTTCCGATGCCCAGCACAACAGCCCGACTGAGCAGGACTCCCTCACGCCCAGTTGGGTTCTGGGGCTACTGGGATCAGGAAGTCTCGGTGAGTGAGGGAAGTTGACATGAAGGCTGGGGAGCCTTGGGTCTCCGGGACCCGGTGCCCAGCCTAGGCACTGTGGACGCTTGGTTCTGGATCCTTTTCGTGGGGACATGTGCAGTGCAGGGTGTGGAGTTATACCCCTAGGCTCCACCCAACAGATGCCAGGAGCGGCCAGCTGTGACCCTGCCCAGTGTCCCGGGGCACAAGCACCCCTGTCGAAAAGCCTGAGCACAGGCAGCGAGCCCTGGAAACCAGGCCCCGCTGGCCTGCCCTCCTGCCCAGGTTACGGGGAGTTACCTCACGAGCCGCAGAGAGTCCTTGCGGATGTTCACCAGGCTTCTCAGGGTCTTCACTGGCTCGTGGGGGGCAGGGGTGACATATGGAAACTGGAGGGGGGAGGGCACAAAGAAGCCCAGGTGATTCCCCAGCAAGGGCCACAGCCCCGCTGGGCTCCTGGGCAATGGGGAGCTGGGCTCTCCCTTCACCAGGTGAAGCAGGAGCAGCGAGGATTCTGGGGTCTCTGCTGGGGCAATCTGCCAAGACCCCCTCAATGCCAGAAAGGGCTCTCAGCAGCCTCAACCTGGCCACGGGGTGGTGGGGGTGGGGGGGCGTCAGGGGGCTCTCAAGTGCGTCCAAGGTGATGGGACGAGGTGTCCACTCAGCCCATGGACAAGGCTTCTCTTCACACGGTGACAGCAGTCGGTATGTGGACCCGATTATGGACCAGGCTGTGCCACTGATGGGCTCGGGCTGGCCCTGGACCGTGGGGGGAAGCAGGACTGTGCTGTGGGGAGTCGCCCCGACAGGGCTTGCAGGCGTCATCAGTGCGGGACGCTGGCATGGCTGAGTGGTGTTGTATCAGAGGGGAGACAGACGGGGGAGAGAGAGGGCCTGAGGGAAAGGGAGGCCCTGCTGATGCCCAGACTTGGGGCCCTAGCTTCCATAAACAACAAACCCACTAACAAAAGAGGCCCGGATATGAAGGTACGGAAAATACTGACAGATTTGCAGATGGTGTAGACACCCACCCACACAGAAACCTGCAACAGTGGTGGGTCACGTTACTGTCACCGCCACGCTTGTGACACTGCAGTAGGGTTTGGGGGTGAGGAGTATGTGGGGTTTCTCTGTGCTACTTATGACCACGACCCCACAATCAGAAAGCTATTGACAAGGAGGCGCTCATGAGTCAGGCCCAGCCCTGAGCAGAGCAGAGCCCCAGGGCCACGCCCTCTTCACACACGCCAGGCCGCTCCTGCCTGTGACGCCTGCGTTGTGGGGCAGGACCCCTCCCAACAGACGTGTCCTGGCTCCATTCTTGGCTGCTGTTTAGTGGCCGTCCTCCCGTTTTCTTCTTCACGTCTACAGCCCCCTGCAGAGCAGGGCCGAGACCCTGGACCGTATCTCCAACCTCGGAAAGCTGGGCGGGTTCACCCACCTGCTCCACTACTAAGTCCGGAGGCGGATGGTTCAAACCCACCCTGTGGTGCTGCGAAAGCAAGTCCTGGCAATCTTGAGCCGTAGGATGGTAGCCAGATGGAGCCATGTGCGGCTAGTTCTACTTGGACACCCTGGTTTGGTCGTCGGGTCTAGAGAAGGCAAAATGAACCTGCCCCTCCTGAGGACCGTAAACAAGGGGAAGGCTTCCAGAGCAGGCTCACCCCCTTCCCCTTCATTCCACTCCTCAACCCCTGCCGCCCTCCCTCCTGGCCCTCTGCACTCTGTCCATGGGCCATCGCTGCCCGCTAGGTTGTGAGTGTCAACTCTAATGCAAGCGGGAGTCCCGCTCTTAAGCTGAAGCTCAGGATCCCTCCCTCTCTACCTGACCAGTAAGCCTCGCCTCCTGGATGGTTCTGAGTTCTGCTCCGGGGATGTGGTTTCTTTTTATCAGAGGCCAGGAGGTTGGAATCCACCTATAAACTCAACAAAGCTCATATACCGCCAGTGGACAGTGGACCTGCTGCTGGCTCAATGAAGGCAGCTGTGTCCCTCAAGAACCTGGCCCCAAGCCCTGGTGGCACGGTGGGCAAAGGGGTTGGCTGCTAACCTGAAGGGGTGAACATGTCAGCTGTTCTTTCAGAGCAGGAGGCGGCAGGCAGTCTGCTCAGGTCGATGACCACCCTGGAAATCCCATGGAGTTCTACTCTGCCCTACAGGGTCACTTGGAGCGGGCCACCTCCAGCCCCACCCCCGGCAGCCTGCCCCGTGGGCTCACCTGCACCGGCCGGTGGCCCAGGAAGTTCAAGTCCATGTTCTCCCCAAAGAGGTAGCCTTCCGGGTGTGGGGTGTCGAATTTCTCACCACCCATGAAAAAGTGTGAGGCGAAATAGTTTCCTGGTAAAAAGAAGACAGTTGTTGATGAGGAGGTGCTGGTTGGGGTGGGGCCCTGCCTGCTCTTTGCAACGCTGGTCAGCTCAGCCCCACAGTGGGGCCTTCCAGTCCCCAGCCCACCTGTCTATGCACCTGTGCACTCAGCTGGGTCTGCAAAGTTCCATGCCAAAGGCTACCCACCTGGGGAGCCAGCAACCGGGAAAGGCCAATGGCAGCCAATGAGAGAAGCTGTGAGGCCCAGGTGGTGGGTGGGGTACAAGGCGGCTGTTAGCTGACAGGTTGGCAGTACAAGCCCACCCAAAGAAAGACCTGGCGAGGCAACCTCGGAACAATCAGTCATTGAAAACCCAAAGGGCAGTTCTCTGTGAAAAGTGGGGCTGCCATGAGCCGAACCCTCCCTCCCACCCCCGGACGGTTTTGTCTGACAGCCTCCTCTCTTATGGAGGCTGTAGCCACCCCCAAAGGGAAGTTCACAACAGCCTCTCTCTATACCGACAGACAGAGTCCTGGCTGAAGACAACAGTGAAGTGCTGGGTGACTCACAGAAAAGACAGAGGTTCAAATCCCCTCCACTTCCCCAAAGCCCAGCCCTGGAAACCCCCCAGGGCTGAGTCAGCACCAGCTCCACAGGCACGGGTACCAGACCCCAAGCTCACGACCCACTGAGCAGCAGCGGGAGCCCATCGAGGCTGGTCGCCCCTGCCAGGGCTGCCCCTCCACAGGGCCTCCACGGCTGGCATCCTGAGAAGAGCACACTGCCACACCACACTCCCAAGAGTGGCTGTGGGCTCACACCGCAGTCAGCGCTTAGCCCCCTGCACCACCAGGCCTCCTGCAGACCTGCACCAGTGGCTCTTAAGAGTTGGGAAGAAAGCAGGTGAGGGCAGGAGCCCATGGGGCAGGGGGCACTTGGAGAAGGCTGGTAGGGCAATCCACAGCACGGCCAGTGAGACCTCACTGGGTGTACACTCGAAAGTGCTCCAGACAGTGCCTACACTGTGCACACAGACAGGACAGCAAGCTGGGGCTACTTCCTAAGCCCTCGTTTCCCAGGTAGGTGCACATACAGAAGCAGCTCATGCGCACAAGGTCTGGACGCATGCCCCGCTCTGTCTGAAGTTCCCACTCTGCATCAGGCCCACCCACTGCTCACAGCACCCCTTTCTGAGTCCATTAAAGAGTCCCAGCAGTTGCCCTCTGGTAACCCTGACTCACGGCAAAGAACCCGTTCCAAAGGGATTTCAGGGGCTGGATGCTGGGCGGGAGGTCGCCAGGGCTTTCTTCTGCATCAATAAAAATTAGAGTAGAAGCAGTGATGGCAGTGGGCTGTGTCCTCGCTGATTAGGAAAAGCACCTGTACACATGGCAGGTAGAGCCACTGGTCCTCCCCATCACAGTGGCTCAAGTCCCCAGGCACAGGGATGACAGAGGCCCTGGATCCCAAACCTGGTCCAGAAGCCCCATGATGAGGCAGTGACCGCCTCAAGGCCGAGGGGCTGTTCTTAGTCCTGCTGGCTACAGTGACTGCCTCGTCCTCCCCCCACTTACTGGAATTAGCTGAGGGGCACACAGGGTCAGGTGGCTCTTCGCCCATGGGATTTTGACTCTGTCCTATTGGTGAGCGTCCAGGTGGCAGGAAGTTGAAGGTCGCACCCTGTCTGTGGTGCGTGTGCGTGCACACACACACAAAAGCAGACCCAGAAGTGCCTGTCCCCTCTTAGGGCTGACAGCAAGGAAAGCTGCGGGCTGGAGCCAGGTTCCGTGATGGCCAGCAGGCGGGAAGGCACTGTCCTGGTCTGGACAGCCACAGATCAGACCTCTGGAGCTCATGGTTGTTTTGTGAGGGGCAGTCAAGCACTGAATGTGGCCTTGTTAATGCCCATGGAGTGGCTGTGTAAATAAGGTGCTTGTGATACACACACACCCAAGGGAGTGGACAGTCTACACCTCGTGTAAAAAAGGTGCATGGAACCTTGAGAGGAGATGGGTCAGTTTTGTCATCTCCTGATTCACTTAAAAGAGACTGTCCCAGAGCAGAAAGGGGAGGCTTGTCTACCACGAAGAGACAGGAGAGGAGGGGATGCTTTAAGCCCAGGGTCCCTGCACTGAGAACCTCCTAGACCCAGGAGACAGGCCAAAAACAGGGGTGATGGCTGAAGATGCCAAGAGACCTTGGCAGAACCAGGCAGAGATGCATCAAGGGCTTCCCTTGGCCCCAAGGAGCGAGAGCTGAATGCTTCATGGAGCTAAAAGGCCTTGTAAAACTTGCCGAAGCAAACCAGGGGCTGGGTCAAGAGGCCCAAGGAGAGGTCTGCCTGTGGGCATGGCCAAGGTGCTGTCCCGACCAAAGAACTGTGTTCTGAGTCTTTCCTGATCTTGCTTTGTAACCTGTTACACCTCCTTAACAAGTCTCATAAGCATTAGGGTGGTCTGGAAGTTCCGTGCGGCCACTGACACCAATGACTGAACTCTGAAGAAAAACGGAGAGGGTCATGGGAGGGGTGCTGGCGTTGAGCTGGGACAAACAGAGAGAGGAGGGGTGTCTGGCTTCAGCCTCACAGGAACCAGCCCTGGGCTGACGCTGCGGGGGTGCTCGCTCCACCACCCCGTGAAGTTAGAGGAAGAGGCCAAACACCGCCACCATTACACTCTGCGTGTCCCCTACTGTTCAAGTCCAATAGGAGCCCGGCTCCGCGCTGGAGCTCAGCTGTGCACCAAAAGGCCGGGGGTGGCCAGAACCTGCTCAGAGGCTCCCCGGGGCTCCCCTGGGGATCTGCCCATCAAACTACAGCCCGGAAAGCTCACTCGTCATATGTTGAGAGCACACTCAACAGTACCCACCAACAGTGGGTCCCCGGCAGTGCACATGAGCACATACTTGCCTGCTGACCAGCAGGCTGGAGGTTCAAGGTCACCCAGAGGCTGCCACTGAGGGCCTGACGGGCACAGCCCTGCTCTGACCTGGGGCACACCAGGTGCTGGGGTCCACTTAAGGGCAACTGTCTTTTTTTTTCTTTTTAAAAAATATATAGTTCATTGTTGTTCTTATCGGGCACCAACAAGTCAGTTCCAACCTGTAATGCCCCTGTCTGTTTGCACTGCCCGGTCCTGCAACATCTTCCCAACTGTTCTCACGTTCAAGCCCCTGGGCAGCCACCATGCCAATCCATCCTGTGGAGAACCTTCCTCTCTTTCTGCTGCCCCTCCACTCACCAAGCATGACACCCTTCTCAGGAACTGGCCTACCCTGACAACACTCCAAAGTACGTGAGAAGTCTCACCATCTTGCCTCTGAGGAGCACTCTGGCTATACTTCTTCTAGGGACGTGTACACAGAACTATGTTTATGTTTGACAACACAACACAACACAAAGGCACTCCTCAGACAACCAAACAGAAGCCAAGACTGGTTTGCTGGCCTGAAAGCTTATCCATAGGACCACAGCCTCAGAGGCCACCTCAGTCAATTGGCACGACAGCTGAGAGAAATCACATTCTGAATCCCAGTGAAGCGAGTGGAGTTCGGGGTCTTAAAAGCTCACAAGGGTCCATCTGAACCCGAACAACAGATAGGGTTCACCAGGAGTAAAACAGTTAGGAGATGACCGACAGCTCAGGGAAGAAGAAACATCAGCTCGTCCACCCTGAGACCAAAGGAACGAGACGGTGCCTGGCGGCAGACGTCTACTGTTGCTTCTGACAGGGCTCCTTCTGGACGGACGGTCCTGGAGAGGTGGGGGGGGGGGGGGGCAATGTGGAAGAGAGCCCATATTCCTACCCAGAGACCAGAAGAACTAGACGGTCCTATTTCCGAATACGTCACCCTGAATTGTCCTGGGGAGAAAGGGAGAGGAATGTGGAACAGAAGTCTTATAAACAGACCAAGCCAGTCAGACTGGAACAGAAGAGATGAGTGCCCCCCACCCCTGAAACTAAGGCCCTGAGACACTTTAAACCGACCCGAGCTCACCCTGAAATCACCTTTCAGTGAAACAGGCTAGTAACTAACAATAACGACAGTGCCGGAGATCAGTGCCCTCCTAAAGCCATCCGTCTGAGACCCAGAGGTCAGCAATTACTCAAAAGCAATAAGGGAGTGGGGAGATCTGAGTAGAGGGTCGACCTCTGCGATGATACGGGTTCAGTTCCTGACCCCACAATAAAGAAGGTACCAGGGGAGGTACCCACCCCACAAAAAAAACTTTTCCCCAAAGCTATGCATTTACATTTTTAAAAACTAATTTTAGTGAGGACTCTCACAGCCCTAACATTCCAGACATCAATTGTATCAAGCATATCTGTACATATGTTGCCATCATTTCCAAGACATTTTCTTTCTATTTGAGCCCTTGGTATCAGCTCCTCTTTTTACCCCTCCCTCCCTGGCCCTCTGCCCCCCTTCCTGAGCCCTTGATAAACTATAAATTATTGCTTCCATATCTTACATTGACCACTGTCTCCTTTCAACCATGTTTTTGTTGTTCATCCCAGGGGGGTGGGAGGGGCAGTGCTACATTTTTTTACAAAGCAGCCTCATCACCTTCAAAGTACTTCTCCATTACATTTACTACATTGTCAAATCGGTGATCCCATTCTTGGAGCATTTTTCAAACTCATCTGTTTGGATAGCTGACAGCACCTCCCTCGTTTTTTCTTCACCTCTATGTCCTCAAATCAATGTCCCTTTCATGTCCCTCTTCATTTGCAGAAACAAAAAGAAGTTACTAGGAGCGAAGTCAGGTGAGTAAGATATGTGGGGCAAGAGAGGCATACTGTTTTATGCCAAAAACTAGCACAATGAGCTGACTGCACGAGCAGGTGCACTGTCATGGTGGCAAAACCAGCCCCCCATCTGCCCTATTTTTGCACAGTTACCCAATCTTTTCAGAAACTCTAAATAGGAAGTTGATTAACAGTCTGACCTGGTGGAATGAACTCCAAATGCACTATTCTCCTCACATTAAAAAAAAAAACTAAGTATCATCATCTTGATATCTGATTTC